CACGTTCTACACTAAACTCAGTTTTAGCGCCAGCCGCGCCAGCCCCTCGTCTCGGCGCCTCCTCCCCGGGACTCGCCCCCGCGCGCGTGGAGGCGTCGGGGCGCGGGTCACCAGGCGGCTGCGCGGCCCCAGAGCGCAGGTCTGAGAGCAGCCACGTGGGCCTGTGGCCCGCGTCCTCCCAGGAGAACAGGGCGCCGAGGAGCGGGTGCTGCAAGGGCGCGCTCCCCAATCCAACAGAACGCACAGTGCACCCTGATTCCTGTCTCTCGGGCAGAGAGAGCCCTCCCGGGAGCAGCGCGCTCGCCCAGCGCGGCCAAGTCCCACCGGGCAGCGGCTCCCGCGGCCCTGAGGCGGGCAGCGTCTGGGCGAGAAGGTGAAGCTGAGTCAGGGCCAGAGCTGCGGGCAAGGAGCAGGCTTGCGGGGCGCAGGCTCCTAGCCCAGGAAGACCCGGCTACTTCCTGCAGGCTCCCCGCTGGCCAGGGCAGCCAGTGGAGGGGGCGCGGGTTGGCACCTGCAGCGCCGAGCGCTTCCGAGCCCGCTCTCCGGCTCTCCGGGCCGACCCAGGGCTGAGGCCTCCTGCGCCGACCGCGGGCCAGGGCCAGGGTGCAGCCTCTGGGCAACCCGGTCTGGGCCTGGGGGCTCCTCCAGGCCGAGCGCCCGCCTCACCCAGCGGGTCCGCTTCCGGGCCTTTATCCGGAGGAAGAGAACTCCTGGCCCCAGGGCCCTGCCGCTGACGACGCCCCTAGACTCGGAGGAGACCCAGTGATCTGCGCCCCGACACCGACAGGTGCGTAAAGACACGCGTGTGCGCTCGCCGTGGCATGAGAGCGCTTTGCCCACGAGCCTCAGCCCACGGCGGCTCCCACAGGCCGGAGGGCATCACTTGCGTGTGCAACAGACCGTGTCACACAGGTGTGGCGGCCCGCTCCTGAAGGCCACACGCTGACACTATCCCTTGACAAGGCGCTGCTCAGGATGTGTCCTGTCGTGAAGCAGCGCATGACTGTGCGCGTACACACACACACATACACACACACATTATTAGCCCCACAGAAGATGGAGATCCTGCCATGTGACCTTGAGGACTGTAGGCTTAGTGAGTCAGACACAGCAAGACAAACACTGCAAGATCGCATCTGTGGAATGAAAATGAAGAAACATAGAAACAAGCTCCCATAAGGGGGTGAGGGAGAGATAGGCAAAGGGTGGTCCAAAGGTATGACCTTCCACCAAAGGTATGACCTTCCAGTTTGAAGGATAAAGGAGATGGGAGGGTCATATGCGTTTTGATGACTATACTTAATCCCGTGTGTTTGAAAGCTGCTAACAATGGGTCTCAAAAGTTCTAATCACAAGGAAACAGAATTATAACTCTGCCATGGTGGGTGTTAATGAAACTTCCCATGGCGATCATTTAGATGGATGGATAGGATGGAGGGAGGGAGGGAGGGAGGGAGGGAGGGAGGGAGGAAGGATAGATACAGATATACAGGGTTAAGGTTGCACAGTGTTAAAGTCAATTATATTACAACAAAATTGGAATAAAGAAATCCAAAGTTTGGTTGGTTCTGAAGAGGAGGTAGCAAAGAGTTTTCTCCTGTGGATTCCTGGAGCTGCTTTGGGGGTCTCTGGAGGATGGCGAGGCTGGGGTGGGCGGGAAAGTGCTTGGACAGTGACCACATGACAAGGGCCCATGCATTTGAGAAGGGGCAGTGCTCCTAATCGTTATGTAATGGAGAAAAAGAAAAAAAGCCAACACGTTTTAGATAAAGTCACATATCATCCACCTGTTTCTAAAATAAACTTCAAAATTTATTTTATAAGCTTTGAGTATAGACTTCAAAGCTAATCTGAAATACAAACAGAATTCACTCATTTGTGGTTTTAGGACAATAAGAGTTTCCACAAACCCATTTCTTCTCTTTGTCCCACATTTTATATTGACTCCGGGATTACGGCCATGTGTGCAAAATGGCACACTCACGTGTGAGCGTTTGCTTTGTGGGTTTAACTAAATCAACAAGGTCTGCTTGCTGATGCAACTTCTGTTAATAGGTAACTGATAGATCAAGGGAGCATGGATATTACTGTTCACCTCAGAGTGAATGAAACCAGTGGAGCGCCTCGGGATATTTGACATTTAACAATTTCTAGAAACTATTTAACTGCTAAAGATTTTAATCTCAGTTAATTCAAACCACCCAGGGCAATGTTCTTTTGTCTGTCCACAGTATTTACTTTGTTCTTCATTTACCTGAAAACTTTTGCTAATATTTTGTTCAATATAAATTTCTTATTATTTATTTATTATTATAATGATAAATTTTGTTTTAATGCATTGGAGAGTTGTAAGTATAGCACTTTTTAAGTTAATTGCGACTGAAAAATCATTTCTGAACATCATCTTTGTTGGCCCAAAGGACAATGAAGTTTTGACAGATGATTTGGGGCAATATGTAAGAGAGATGAACAATGCCCCACATAGACAAGTTTGGTTATTTAGGGATAGTTTCAGATTTTATTGATATTTATCATTTCACATCAATTTTTGTTTATCCTTTGTCCAGTGACATTTTCCTCAAATTGAGATGTCCTTAGTACATATGGGACACTAGGAAAATATATCATCCCTGAAATAATAAACACACTTTATAATTCAGAGTTGCAAAATATTCTAAAATATGAATATTTTGCTTACAAATTTTCATTACATTTATTTTAACAGATAAATTGTCACTTCATATGTGAGACTCCTCTATGTTTTTTACCGAATTTAGACCACGTTTTGTCTTGGAGAATATTAAAAGTGCTTTGGAAAACATGTTAAAGAGCACATATGCTTATTCTTTATGACAAAATATGTCAACATGGCAATTATTTTTGACACAAGTGGAATTCATTGATAAATCTCAGTTATTTAAAACTTACTTCATAATTCACATCAGAAATATGGGGATTTTTATTATGCCCTTCAATATTCTCCGCTTCCACATTGTTTAATAATAATAGAGTCAAAAGGCTTGCCTTGGAGAAAATGAAGAAATCTTTACCAATTTAAAATACCTGCACTGGTGACTCCATCCTAGTGCCCTACTCCAGGGCCAGGGCTGCTGCTGGGGTGTGTAGGTGACTTCATAGTGATTCTGATGATGAAAATTAGTGTAAATCTTTGCCTGAGTCCATGAAACATAAAATGCTAAGAGTGAACCCGCATGTCCAATGACTGACTTTGGGTGAAGATGATGAGTCACCGTGGATTGTTAACCCAGGGCTGTGCCACCTGCCCAGGGTGTCAGAGTGGAGCAGGTTAGGGAATGTCTAAGCAACTTGATTCTGTTTTGCTGTAAAACTAAAATCTTCTAACAAATAAAAGTCAATTTAGAAAGTCCAGTAGAGGGCCTCCCCGGTGGTGCAGCACATTGAGCGCAGTGCTGTGAAGCTGTCCGCAGCCTCTGCAGTGCGGGTTCCATCCCATCTGGCCGGGGAGAATCCCACATGGCGCAGCAGACCTCTCCTGTTCCGCCCGCTGCTCCCCTCAGCAGTGTACTTTGGTCAGTCTGCCTGTTCTGTTCCCCCCTCTGTCTCTGGTGAATCCTCTCACCCTCCTGCACCTCTGGTCTGTACCCCAGTTCTTGTATAAAAATAAATAAATCTTTTAAAAAAAAAAAAAAAGAAAGTCTAGTAGAAGGATAGTTTAATATGGTGCAAGTATGAAATAAAGTCAATCATGTGAAAATAACTTTTAAATTTTATATAAAGTGTTCACTAATTTCTCAATAGAAATATGTACAAGAGATTCCTTTAGGTTCTAGTAGATTCATTTTTTGAAACATAAGCCACACAATTACTGTGGGTTTTATGCGTCACCTGCAAGTGTGACAACATCATGGATGCATTTCCCCAATAGCTTAAGTGCTCCCGAAGCTTCTGGCATCAGGTCTTCCAAAGACGCTGTCCCCTGTGCTGGGTGCTCATGCCCGATGCAGTGCACTTGAGGCTCTTCAAGCAGCTTAACATCTGCCAACAACCTTGCTGATGAGCATAAAATCCTCGAAACACCCTCCAGCAGGGTCCCCTGGAGCAACATGCGCAGATACAGGGGCCACTCCTCTTTTTCTGGAGCTTCTTGCAGAGTCCGCGCTGGACAGGGAACACTGGGGTCCAATTCAGTCTCTTCTAACTCTAGCTGTGCAGCAGCTTCCTTAGTCTTTCCAGGAGGATTTTGAAGTAGGACCCTAATGTGTAATAACAAATCCAGACAACCAGCCATTCGGTATTTGCAATGAGCATGGGAAGCGCGCACTGACATGAAATGTCTTAATTAGGTAGTTAACGGTTTATATAGGAGATGCATTTTACTTTATTTAAAATCAGAACCCCAGTCTCCATGCTGCAGTGGGCTCAATAACACACTGATCTCAAATGATTAGCAGGTGACATACATCTGAGAGGCGGGGCCCAAGTCCTCTGAATCCCATGGGGCTGAAAATCAGTGTCAGCTCAATAAAATAAAATCTAAGAGCATTCCAGGTTCAGATGCAGATTGAACATGAGATAAACTAGAACCATCGTGAAATATGAAATTATTCTTGGGAGGAAAGCATGTAAAATATAGACAATCAGATCTGAAGCCTCTTATGTAGAGCTAATAGAAAAATTCTATTTATGCCTTCCACACCTCAGTAAACTAAAGTTTTCCTAGACTGAAAAAAACTTGTGGGTTACATTGGCAGAGCTACCACTCCTCCCCTCTGCCCCCTTCCTCTCTCCCTGCACTTCTGTCCCTCACGCTCCCCTCCCCTCCCCTCTCTCCTGAACAGTTTCTCTCCTTTCTGTTTCTTTTTCCCATAATCAACTTGGTCATTTTCATCAGAATTATCACTTTTTTTCTGTCATCACCTCCACCATTTATCCTGTAATTATAAGGGATATGTTATTTTAATTTGATGATTTCTTCTTTGTTACTATTTATCATTAATAATTAATTTATAATGTTACAGATCAATGCAGTCAGGTCCAGAGGGGTGTGTGCCAGGGGCAGGAGCGAGGCGGTGCTGCTCGGGGTGGACACGGAGCTGTGACGACGCTGGTGAGTGTGAGACAGCAGGCTAGATGCCCCTCAACAGTGGCCCTCGGGAAACATGGTGATGCGATCGGGGTTTCTATGTAGTTCAGCTGAGGGAGCAGAGCAGCTGCCCTGATGAGGAACAGCCGTGCAGTCTGTCCCAGTGTGACCTTTCAAGTCTCAAACTCTCCTCCCAAGAGCAGGACAAAAGTTACGTCTATTGTGATCAATATCAATATTTCTTCATCATCAAATATGGTGACAAGTGCTTGCTTTCTTAAAGAAAATGCATAGCAACTCATTGTAATAGATCTTCTTCTGATTTACTAGGATTAAAGAAAAGATTTCTAGAGTGCATGATATAAAGTGACCGACAGTTTTTACTTTATTGTAATTAGTCTTTTTCCTGGTCTCCTTATTTAGACCATCCGGTCTTTTTCTTTTTCTTTCTAGCTTATTTCACTGAGCATGATCCCTTCCAGCTCCATCCATGTTGCTGCAAATTACATGAGTTGATCTTTTTTGATTGCTGAGTAATATTCCATTGTGTATATATACCACATCATCAAAATCAACAAGAAACTATAAACCAGTGACACACTATGGATGGGGGGAGGGAGTAGGATGAAAACAAAGGGGTGTGGGAATTGTGTGGGGACTATAACCAAGATGAAAATGCATATATTGTGCAAAAATGACAAATGATGTAAAAATACATAAAATAAAAAAAAAAGTGTTCGATGGCTCACCAGCTCAATGGGGCAGGATTTGTTTTCAGATTTAATCTAAAGCTCATGCATCAGTTTTCTATTCTATTCTTCCTTGAATGATATGGAATTAGAGTCAAGCAAGATGCTAAGAGAACAGTGTAGTGATTTATAAAAATTATGTAGGAAATAAGAAATTCACTTTAGGGCAAAAAAAAAACATATTAAGGATACATGTAAACAACTTTGAAACTTCACAATGATCAGGGAGAGGTAAAAAATTATTTATGATTGGAGTTTAGAAAGATGAAAGAGAGCTCTGCAGCATTGGTGATTTGAAGAGGTAATAGGCATCTCTGTGATAAATTGATCCTGTTGATATAGGAGAATCAGTAGTTGGATTTTTATACCTAACCCCATGAACATAGTATTTAATCACACTGTTGAAAAGAGTATAAAAGAATTTATCTTAGCAGACACGAACTCCTATTGCATATGAGAGAGAAGGGTACTTCTATTTTCAAACTACAGAAGTGATAGAAAGTTTTAAAAAATAGTCCATACCTTTATCACATTACAGTTGTCCTTTCTTAACCAATGCAGGAGTTTGAACACCAACCCCACACAGTTGAAAATCCATATATATTATATATTTGTTTCCCCCCAAATCTGAAATACTAATCACCTACTGTTGACCTGCAGCCTTAGGGAAAACGTAATTAGCCAATTAACCCATCTTCTGTTTGTCATGTGTATTATATACTGTATTCTTAGAACACAGTCAATTAGGAAGGGGGCCTCCCAGTGGCACAGCGGTTGAGCGCTGGGTTGTGAAGCTGCCCGCAGCCTCTGCAGCGCCGGTTCGATCCCCGGCTGCTCCCCGGCCACCAGAGGAGGGTCCCGCATGGCGTGCAGGCCTCTCCTGCCGCCCGCGGCTCCCCTCAGCAGTGTACTTCGGTCCTTCTGCCTGCTCTGCTCCCCACTCTGGCTCTGGTGAATTCTCTCACCCTCCCGCGCTTCTGACTGTACCCAATGCATGCATAAACAAAAAACAAACAAATAAATAAATAAAGCATGCCTCTATAAAAAAAAAAAAAAAGAAAAAGAAAATCATAAGGAAGCGAAAAGGCACTTACAGCATTGAACTGTTCTTATTCATAACATAACATTGTTGTTGGTGTACAGGGAAATCTTTAAGCGAATCCAAGCAGATCAGACCTGTGTTATTCAAGCGCTTCCGACAGATAAGTCAGCCCACAGAAGGAAAAACAATAGGCTACATCTCCTGCTTTTTAATCACATGAGAGCGTTTCTCTACTAAACATGTAAATCTTTTCCCTCTATGAATAAACAAGCATCTTGTGCAGAAGTCAACGGATTTGTAAATGTAAGAGATATTTCCCACTATTTCTAATTAATTGGATGCAGTTTATTTCTCTTTGAATAGCATCTACTCTTTTTCTTTTTATTGTGGCATAGCGAAGAAAATTAGGGGGTGATAATTCTCTGAATTTTAAAGTCAAATGTAAAAGGATTTCTACATTTGAACTTTGCTTTCTTCTTTGTTACATGATAGTTTTTTTTATTAATATAGTTAGCTGCCTCACATCAATAGGCAAAATATCAAATTTTATATAACACATGAAACAAATAAAAGAACCAATACGTTGGGGTGGCTGATTTGGCGGGTGAAGTATGGGGTCTCCCAGGAGGCCAGTGGAAGCGAGGGAGGTGCACTTTGTGACAAAGCTATGGGGGGCAGGGAGCAAGTGCCTTTGGGGGACACCAGTCTTGGAGGAGGGAGCCAGAGCTGGCCCCACCTTGAGTTCTACTGCACGGTGAGGGAGCACTTGGGTGAGGACCACTTGGGTGCCTGGCCATGGAGCCCCCTCACCCAGACTCCACTGCAAAGATTCTGAGAACATCACCTGGGAAGAGAACCCAGGTGATGCTGAAAAACCCCCACCCCAACTTCCCCTGCAGAGTGGGCAAATCAATCATGACCCAATGAGAGAAGCCAGTTAGTCTTAGAGAAGCACAGTGCACTGACCTCAAACATTGAAAATATTCTTTTGCTGTGACATTTGTAATTTTTTCATATATGCATATTATGCCCCCAAATGTCCCTTTACAATGAACAGCGTTTGCTTCTGTTGTTGATTTCCAGTGTTTCTCCTGCTTCCCCAAAACTTAATCTGCTTCTAGAAGCACTTCTTGGCAGCCCCTACAATCTTTGTAGACATGCAAAAGAAAAATGTTATTTTGAAGCATCCCTAAATAATACTTAAAATTTTACTATTGTGGTAATTTAAAAAAGCTAATGATATTTGTAACAGTTCCCACAGTTTGCCTAGCTGTATTCTAATTCAACATTGGATCATTTAAATCTCGTTTCTGTCCTTGAACTGCAAGCATCTTAGCTCTAGTAGGTCAATGAAATCTAGCACATCCTATACATTTACCATTTTTCTATCTTAGTCTATAACTGAATGCAAATATAAATTTCATTATACCTCCAATATTCATGCTATTCCTCTGACAATCATAGGCACTTATACTGAATTTTTTTGTTTCATATTATTTTTCTAAAGAAATGCTATAAAGTATTATTCATCATTTATAGCATTCATCAAATGCTATAAACTATTATTGACCTTCCTACATTTAATACATTTATATTCCCATAAAAATCGTGTGACAGCATTCTGGTGTAGTTACAATCTGGGGATATGGTAGGAAAGGAAATTAAGACACTGCATAGGGCATCTTAAAGTTTTATAAAGAAAGGGAGAGTCTGAGGAGAGTTAAACTTCAATTAATGCTACATTTTAACACTGCAAAATTTTCTAAATGAGAAGGAAGAAAATTTATACAGTTGAAGAAGGAAAAAGAGGAAAGACGAACATGAGGAAGGAAGAGAGACACTGAAGGAAAGCAGCAAGGATGGCGAGGGGAGGGGAAATTGTGCATATTTACATTTACTTTCCAACTGAAGATTGTAAATCAAGCAGCATTTTTTCTCTTCGTATTCATCCCCATTTTGATGGCCTCCCTTACAATGAAGTCATCTGGTGTTGGATGTCTCCAGCAGTCCCTAGTGCCTATCAAGTTACTTGAAAATTGTGCTTCCAATTTTCATTAGTTTTGATCTTATATTTCTGTGCTTATAAAGTCAATAAATTCTTCAACCGTGGTACTGTTCAAAAAGAAGAAAATATCCTTTTTCTGAAAGCACTCTGAATATCTGTGGTGTTTGTTTATCTCCTTGGAAATTAATGAAGGATTTCTTTCCTCCCCGAGTGATGGTCATGTAACAAGAGCCTGAACAAATTAGCAATATCTTATCTAAATTAATTTTTTTCCTTAATGATCAAACTTCGTGGTGAGTTTTCAATGATCATAGTGACGTTATTGTGGTTCTGAAGGCTGTGGCAAAAACATTGAAACATTGAAAGAACAACTCAGTATCAAGACATTTAGCGTCCTATTCAAAGAAAAAAATGCAATATGTTGTGTGAGGAAAGAAAGTAGAAATGAGAATTAGTAACTCATGGAGTTTGCACAGCAGAGGAAACCATCAAAAAATCAACAGGCAGCCTACAAAATTGGAGGAAATGTTTGCAAATGACAGATCTGACAAGGGGCTCCACACACAAGGTATAAAGAATCCGTGCCACTAAGGAGTAAAAAGCCCCAAACTATGTGGTTAAAACCAGAAAGAGAATAGACATTTTTCCCAGAAAACATGCCAATGGCCGGCAGGCACAGGTCAAGGAGCTCAAGGTCGCTCATCCTCAGGGAGCCACAGGAGGAGCCAGGGGACCTGACACCTCACCCCTGTTCGTGGCCGCCCCCGAAACGTGGAGAGACTCGCGCGGGAAGGTGAGGCGGGAGGCCCCGGCGCACAGCACGCTCAAGCGCTGATGGGGTGCACCTTTCATTAGCGCCAGTACACGGAATTCTATCTCCGAGTGTGTGATAGTTCATGACTGCATTAAGTGATGTGACGTGTTTTATTTTATAAGTAAGTTTATCGTTTCAACCTTATCAGAATCCCTCGTCCAGGCAGCCCGGCCTTGTCAGCTCGCCATGGCTTCGAGAACGCACATTCCTCGCCCTCTCCGGCAGCTACCCCCTGGGTCCCGACACAGCCACCCTCATGTTCACTTGAAGTGAAAAAAGGTAAAACGCACCTTCTATAGTTTTTAATTGCCAATTAGTTTTTATTCGTAACTCATTTAGCACTGTTTGAGTTCCAACTTCATAAATTTGAGAAGGATCAGACTCTTCTATTATTTTCTTCCAAATTAACTTCTGAGTACTAAAAACCTGTTCCTCTATTGTTCCTTTGTGTATGCAGTCTAATGGAATCTCAGTTTCCACATAAGAATGTGCACATGTCAATAACATACTATGAAGCCTTTTTCTAAAAAAAGATTTATTTATTTACTTTATTTATTTATACAAGCACTGGGTACAGTCAGAAGCGCGGGAGGGTGCGAGAATTCACCAGAGCCAGAGAGGGGAGCAGAGCAGGCAGAAGAACCGAAGTGCACTGCTGAGGGGAGCAGCAGGCAGCAGGAGAGGTCTGCGCGCCATGTGGGACCCTCCTCCGGTGGTCGGGGAGCAGCCGGGGATTGAACCGGCGCTGCAGAGGCTGCGGGCAGCTTCGCAACCCAGCGCTCAACCGCTGCGCCACCGGGGAGGCCCCTATGAAGCCTATTTAAAAGCATTTAAAATTATAAATGAAATTTTCTTTCTAATTGGTAAATCAGTAACTTTAATACTTTCACCTAACTACCAGAATATGACTATTATCTATCTATGAAAGAAGTTTATATATGTATTATATGTGTGTGTATATATATATAAGCTATCTCTCATCCATTCTTTATAAATTACTATAAAAGGAAAACATATTTCTGGATTATAAAAATTAAATAAAAACTTATATATACCTCTATTATTATCCTATTAACAGATATAGGATCATGAATATAAGAGATCATTTTAAAAGAGACTTTTTAAAAAGATTTATTTATTTATGCATACAAGAACTGGGGTGTAGGCCAGAGGTGTGAGGGGTCAAAGGATTCACCAGAGACAGAGTGGGGAACAGAACAGGCAGATCTACTGAAACACACTGCTGAGGGTAGAAGCGGGAGAGGCAGGAGAGTTCTGGCAGGCCCTGTGGGTTGCTCCCCAGCCTGCAGGGGATGGAACTCCTGCTGCAATGGCTGCTGATAGCTTGATAGCACTGCCTTTAACCCCTGTGTCACCAGGGAGGCCTCATTTTCAAGTAATATCTAAATTTTAAAATAGCATAAAGTGACAATTAGGAAAGAACAGTTTTAACCTGCATAACTTTACACGTTAAAATCCCACAGTATTTTAATATTGTAATTGCTAGTCAATGCAGGCTATTTCTATTATTCAAAAGCATGGTAAACATGATGCAAACAATTAAATATAAATACAAGCTAACTGTTTCAACTGTTGTTACTGGGAAGATATCAGATCATACACCACTTCAAGCCTGGAATAATTGTGTAGACACACTGTGTAGCTGTGTAGTTGGGGATTGAGTTTTGGGATGAGGTACGTTTGACATGGGTAGTTTCTTTTCCAACAGCTGTGCCAGTACAGAGACAAGCTGATCATTAAAGAAACTTCTTGGCAAACCACTTCTTGTTAAGTGGGGAATGCAGAATGCTTGGCATCTGTAATTGAAGTAATTTGTAAGAAACCACAATACTTAGCCAGCTGTAACTTCTACTATTTCATGATTAAGATTAGAATCCATTAATCAATTTATAGACACAAATACATTATTGTTCAAAATAAATAAGAATTTAAAAACACTCAAATCAATAAATATAATTACAACTAGTCTGTTCCATTCATTTGTCTTCCAGATGTTTGGTGAAATAACTGCAGCCTGGAGCCAAACAACTAACACCATCTTTAATTTTGTTTATTGTAATAAAATGTGTTAATGAAAAAGTGCAAAAATAGATAATAGAAATTAATGTACTGTGACATAAAATTTTGCTTGAAAATCAAGGCAAGTACAGTAAAAGCTAATATGTTTAAATGAGCATTGCATAATGTATATCTAACAACTATAAAAATCATTTTATTGAAGTATATCTGCAAATCATACAACATGAAAAATGACAGCAATATGCTCGAGACAGACTAAGTCTAGTCTATGGAAACAAATTTTGATCAGTATTTAAAAGTTATTCTGGATAATCACAGGAAACGGGAGTTTAAAAGTATCTGCACATACTCTATTTTTTCCTGTTTGTATCCAAGTATCATTTAATCTAACTCTAGTATTGTAAATTATTATACTCAATTCCTTTATAAAACATCATTTTGATTCAAATAAAAATAAACCATCACTATCACTTACATAATAGGATACATAGGTGTACACAGACAGTATACGGTATAGGGTATAAGAACAGTATATGGTATAAGACAGTATATGGTACAAGAACACATTATACGGTATACACCATGTTACATGGTATTATATGGAAAAATGTGGGAGATCGAAAATATCATTAGATTTTATATATGATGTTACTAATAATATCACTAATTTTAAGTTTGTAATATTATCTAAGTTATAAATCACTTAAGAAGTCTTCAAAAATACAGTATATCATTTGTATTGTTTTTAAATAGTACTTTTTAAAATATGCTCACTTACCAACCAATAAATCTTAAATGAATTAGGAAAATGTATAACAATTTCAGTCTTATATTTAAGATCTTTCAAATAAGCATGTTATGATTTAGTATCAAAAATACTTTTTTTACTCTATTTTTTTCTAATTACTGGAAAAATTAATGAATATCCACATAAGCATTTGTTGGAACTAAATGTAATAACAGTTCGAGGTCATTGCTTCTATGAAATGTTCGAATACAGTAAACAAAAATAGATGTTTTATTTCAAAGTAAGGATATCTTGTTTTGAATATTGAGCATTAAAATCGATGGCAAATTGAATAATACCCTTTTTTAAAAGATTTATTTAATTATGCATGCAAGAACTGGAGTGTAGGCCAGAGGTGCAGTGGGTGAGAGGATTCAACAGAGTGGGGAGCAGAACAGGTGGATCCACTGAAATCCACAACTGAGGGGAGCAGTGGGGAGATTGGAGAGGTCTCCTGCCCTCTCCTGTGTGGGTCAGCTCCTGGGCTGGGGATCAAACTCCTGAACTTATGCCTCAGTGTCTGGTGACACGGCGACTTTAACTCCTGCACCCCCAGGGAGGGCCCGAATAATACAATTATAAACCAGAATAAGCTAGGGTTTGATGGGTTAATTCTACCAAACTTTAAAATTTTTTAAAGGTTTATTTATTTATGCACACAAGAACTGAGGTACAGGCCAGAAGTACAGGAGGTGAGAGGATTCCCCAGAGACAGAGCGGGGAGCAGAAAAGGCAGACCGACTAAAATCCATAGCGGGGAGACAGGAGAGGTCTGCTGTGCCCTGTGGGTAGCTCCCTGGCCAACCAAGGATGGAACTCATGCTGCAGAGACTGCCCATAGCTTCACAGTGCTGTGCTGAACCCCTTGTGCCACCAGGGTCCCCACTTTTGAAGACATTGTACCAATTCTCTACAGCTCTCTGAGTGTCTTTCTGACAGTAGAAGGTACATGAACACTTCAACATATAGAAGCACCCACATACACACTCATGTACAGGCTCACATGCACACACTTGCACAGACACTGTGAAATGCACATACACCTAAAGAACATAGTGCAAATACCTAATGACATACTCATTGGCAGCTCTGCGCCACTCTCCATCTCACTGTGCTATCACCCTGTGATTCACCTGACTTCTAAAATTTTCTCAATGCTTTCTAAAATCTCTAAATTTTCTTAAATTTCCAGTGCTGATCGTAGGAATTTTAAAGCAAATTTAGGTATCTGATGACCCAGGTGTTGGAAGTGCGGGCACGTTCGTAAATGAGAAGCAAATAAGGTCGGTTTCAAACAATGATTTAATGAGTCATGGCATAGACACGCTAACAAAGCAATCCATTTCTGAGTGTCTCCATCAGGCCGAGAAACAGCATTCAGATGCCTCCACGCCCCAGCGCCCTAGAGGCAGAGCCGGTCACCTGGAGGTCCCCTCTGCAGTGGGGAGCCCGTCTGCCCATCGCGGCCACCTCCTGCGCCGTCCGGGACCTGCGTGGGAAGAGAAGAGCCAGTAAAGCCCAAGCAGAGAGTGAAGTGTTCAGGATGCTCGTGTGTGAGTGAAATCCCCCGAGGAGCGTTGCACAGAGGTGATTGGGCAGGGCTCAGAAGGAAACCAGGAGGCCCTACCACTAGCTGGCAGGTGAGCTATTCTCCAACTTGGAGCTTCAGTTTTTAAAAGGGGCCCAACCCAGGGGGACTTCCTACCGTGTCCGTCAGTCAATGACAATGCCACTCAGACCACAGAGCTCCTGCATCCTCTGCGCCATCCGTGTGCCAGGCGCCAGCAGCAGGGCTGTCCCAGCAAGGGGGCGGGGAGGCCTTCACAGGACAGAGCCTAAGGTGGGAAGCAAGGCCATGGGTTCCCCGCCGCCTCTGGCCCTGGGGCCTCTGGGAGCTCCGCCCCTGCACAGCTCCATTCCCCACCCTTCATCTGTTCAGCTGCCTCCAACCTCCACTCGCCCCCCTTCACCCGCTTTGCTCACCCACCCCTTTCGCCCACTTTGCTCGCCCCCACCCCAGGTGCTTCACCAGTTCCATTGCCCTCCTGGCCCTTCACCTGCTCTGCTCCAGGACATCTGTGTTCCGCGGACATCTGTGATCAGGTCCTGTGTGCGTCATGCTTCTCCTGGCCCCTCTGACTGGGCCCAGGCCCTGACCCCTCTCCAGAGCCTCGCCCTCCCCTGGCATGCTCCTGCTCACTTGGTGGCTGCATTTTGGGCGGGACATCTGCAGGGTGTGGCAGTCTTATGAGTTGTCGGGTGGGTGAACACCCTTGCCGTGTTTTCAGTGGTGTGGTCGGCAGAAACAGCACAAATTTAGCAGGGCATTCATTATCCTCCTGCTGGCCCGCCCGCCTTGGCTAGAGCTAATGGATGGGACTGAGGTGTCATTGTCTTCATGGCTTTCTGCAGGAGCCACCGCATTCCTGCGGAACTTGAGGAGCCAGCGGCGTCTTGGGGGAGGTCTGAGGTTGGTGAGGGGGGCTGGGGGGCAGGACTGAATGGTCCCTTCTTGCTTTCCTGTTCACCCTCCACCAGGGGGCCTGGCATGGTGGTGGTGCTACCACCCTCCTTGGTGTCCTGCACCTGGGGGCCCGGAATGGATGTGGCGCTTTGCTCTGGGGCATCCTCCTGCGGGGGGTCTAGAATGGAGGTGGCGCTGTCCTCTGCCTGGGGGCCTGGAATTGAGGTGGCGCTCTGATCTGGGGCACCCTCCTGCAGGAGGTCCGGAATGGAGGTGGCGCTCTCCTCCCAGGCATCCTCCCGCAGGGGGCGTGACCTGGGGGTGGCACTGTCCTCCACCTGGGGGCCCGGAATTGAGGTGGCACTTTGCTCTGGGGCTTCCTCCTGCAGGGGCTCTTGAATGGAGGTGGCGCTGTCCTCTGCCTGGGGGCTTGGAATTGAGGTGGCGCTCTGATCTGGGGCACCCTCCTGCAGGGGGTCCGGAATGGAGGTGGCGCTCTCCTCCCAGGCGTCCACCCGCAGGGGGCGTGACCTGGGGGTGGCGCTGTCCTCCACCTGGGGGCCCGGAATTGACGTGGCGCTGGGCTCCGGGGCAACCTCCTGCAGGATGTCCAGAATGGAGGTGTCGCTCTCCTCCCAGGCGTCCTCCCGCAGGGGGCCCGGCGTGGGGGTGGCGCTGCGCTCTGGGGCGTCCCTCTGCAGGGGGCCCGGCGTGGGGGTGGAAGAGTCCTCCCGGGTATCCCCCACCTGGGGGCTTGACGGGGAGCTGGCACTGCGCCCTGAGGCTCGGTCCTGCGGGATTTTCACGCAATTGGTCCTGCGGCCCGGGGTGGCCAGGAGGCTGAACACAGCTGACGCAGCGGCATCCTCTGTCTGTCCAGCCTCCTGGCTTTGCTCATCCCCGGACACCTGCAGGAGGCCCTCCCCGGAGTCCCGGGCACCAGGGGTCACGGCGCGTGGGCAGGGCTCCTGGGGGGCGGGGAGACTCGGCCACGCCTCCCCTCCTCGGGCTCCCCTCCCCCCGCCTCCGGGACCCAGGATGAGGTCCGTCCCCATCACCTTGTCGAATCTTCGCTCCACCACGGCCGTCTGGCTCTGCTGTCTCTGATCGCCCATACTCACCATGGCCTCCGCCAGGGCCGCGTCGTGGTGGCTGGGCGACGGCTCGCGGACGGCCAGGAGCCCCTGAGTCGGCCGCACCCACGGGTGCTGCTGGATGGCCTCCAGGCTGCTGCGCTCCTGGGGGTCCAGCACCATCATTCTGCCCAGGAGGTCCCGGCACTGGGCCGAGAGGTAGGGGGGCAGGTGGAAGTGCCCGCTGACCACGCGGTCCCGGATCTCCACGAGGTCGGAGCCCCGGAAGGGCAGCGCGCCCGTGACCATCCTGTAGAGCACCACCCCCAGGCTCCACACGTCCACGGCGGGGCCCGCGTACGGGCGGTGCAGGAAGATCTCGGGCGCCGCATACTCGGGGCTGCCGCAGAAGGTGCTGAGCGCCGCGCCCGCGCACTCGATGCTCAGCCCGAAGTCGCTGAGCTTGAGGTTGTGCTCGCGGTCCATGAGGATGTTCTCCGGCTTGAGGTCGCGATGCACGATGCCCCGCGCGTGGCAGTGCGCGACCGCCGCGAGGATCTGCTGGAACTTGTGGCGCGCCTCGAGCTCCTCCAGGCGCCCGCGCCGGAGCAGGTAGTCCAGCAGGTTCCCCCCGCCCGCATACTCCATGACCAGGAGGAGTTCCTCCGGGGTGTCCAGCACCTCGAACAGCTGGATGATGTTGGGGTGCTGCAGCGCTTTCATACAAGCCACCTCGCGGGCCAGGAACTCGAGGCGCGCCTGCCTGGCCTTGCAGATGAACTTGATGGCCACCTCCGTGCCGGTCACCAAGTGTAGCGCCAGCTTGACTTTGGCGCAGGCGCCCGCCCCCAGCGTGCGCAGCACCCGGTAGTTTTTCATGCTGGGGGCCCCGAGAGCGCAGGGCCTGAACATAGCGAGTGCGGACCCGGCGGGCTGTCCCCGCGGCCCTGACTGCGCTGGCGGCCCTGGCGCTGCCTCTCCTGACCTCACGCTCTCCCGATAGTATTTACAAGGGTTACTACTATATTAACTAACTACACTAACAATATAGGATTAATAGTATACAAAATTACCCACTAAGCTAACTAAATACTAACAAAGCTACCTTAACTCTACCTACAACTACACTAACCTTACTATGCTAACCTTACTAGAACTCTAACACTAACACTAACTATCTACACCAAAGATAAATGAACATACACAACCAAAAAAATACAAATGATATAAACATTTAAAAACACGATCAAAACAAACCAATCACAAACAAGCCATTACATTCACGAATACAACATAGAACAACAGCAAGGACAAAGAACAGACAACAGGACAAACAATTAGAAACTGACACCAACAACAAAATAGACCGACGACAAAGGGGAAAAACGAACACACGACAAAATAACAAGGGAAAAGGGGGGAGAAGGGGAGGGACACGGGACTGGACGGGACGGGGTGGGGGGTGGGGAGGAGACACAAAAAGGAAAAATAAAAAACTAAAAACAGCACAAATTAAAATAATAAAGAAAAAAATAGAAAAAAAATAAGCAAGTAACAAAACAATACAAGAAAACAAGACAAAAATAAAAATACAGTAACTAAAATAAAGAACTAAAATAAAGAACTAAATAAGTAAACAGAAAAACCAGAGGAAAACCACATAAACCACACCACCACGCTACCTTCCGTCCGAGTCTGCAGGTCGCTATCCAGAGGCTTCCTGGCTCTTAAGGACACGCAGCGGCAGCCGGGCCGGGCTTATATAGGCAGGGCCGGGGGCGCCATCACGGTGGCCCTTTATGCAGTCGGCCCTTTATGAGCCGAAGGGGGCCGCCGCCCTGGGCAAGGGAAACCCCAGTGGCTTCTCGGCCTTAGGGAAACGCAACTGCCAAGAGGTGTGTTTCCAGGGCTTCCTGGAGATGGACCTGTCCCCAGCTAAGGAGAACCCAGAGAAGGCTTGGAGGCCGCTTGATCTGTAGCGAGGAGACCTGTCGTAGCTTTTTTGCCCTGCTCTGAGCGGGCGCTCCACACAGTCACTGCCTTCCACGCTGCTGTCTCAAAGCCACGCTCCACCACAACTGACATTGTAAACGACGGTCGTGTTGGGCGCACGAGACCCATAGCCCGTTCGTCACATGCCAACATTGCAAGCTCTCTGGGCCGGGTTTTCCTCCATCTTTGCCCGTGAGCTGAGCGTGCCCATCGGCCACCTCCAGGCCAGGCCGGAGGCCGGGGCGGCTCTGGCAGGCGGGCAGATGCTGTAAAGCTCGGCCTCTCGCTCCCCTCTTCCCCGTGTCTGCTGCTCGCCTGGCTTGCCTGCTGGTGCGAGCCCACAGCCCCTTCCCTCACTGTAAAGAGTATCGCCAGCAGCACGACACTGTGTCCGTCACGCAGTGCTGCCTGCCATGGTCGCCCCCCGAGTGGGGACACCCCCTGACCTGACTCAGATAGGGCTGCGGGCAGCGGGGGGTGGTCAGCTCCCACTGAGATTTCTGGCTTAGAAATAGCTGCTTCTTGCTGGAATTGGGGGCGGCTTGGTTGGCCAAAGACAGGTCTGGACGCTGTGACCCTGAGCCCTGGCAGGAATGACCTGCCATGTGGAAACGTGGGTTCAGGTGAACAACGGGGGTTCTGCTGCTACTCAGACTGCAGATTCCTTTCACCTCCCCCACCCCAGGCCTACCCTGATCGTTCACTCACTGTATCAGCTGAGGACGAGTCTCGCCTGAGCAGCCTGGAGCGCAGTTGCAGCCCCAAAGCTCAGAAGCATTGGCTCAGGGGTGTCGGGTCTGGGTCTGATATTGCTCCAGCGTCTCTTTTCCCGGGTCTGGAGAGCGGAGAGGGCAGATTTGTCTCAGGGTGTGAGGATACGCAGGGCAGGCTCCTGCTGGCCCATGTCCCCCTGGGGACCTGACCCATCAGTGGCTGTGAGAGGTTCTGCTGCTCCCTCCTGCCAACTGTTGCTGCTCCTGAGTTGCCGCGCAGAGGGAGTTATGGTCACTTCCATTTCGGCTGCCAACTCCAATGCTCAGTCCCGCTTTTCTCTCAAGCCTGCTTGCATCTCTCCTCCTCTGCTTTGCTGTCCCTGACTGAACTGATCCATCCTGTGGCTTCCAACATTCTCTACAGAGCAGGGGTGTCTGCTAGGGGTGCGGGAATGAGGGGATTCACCAGAGACACAGTGGGGGAGCAGAACAGGTGGATCCACTGAAATCGACTGCTGTGGGGCCAGCGGGGGAGAGAGGAGAGGTCTGCTGCACTGTGTGGGTACCTCCCTGGCTGGGGTTGAATGCAGGCCGCAGAATTGATAGTGTTGAGCCTTCACCCCTAGGCCACCAGGGAGGCCACATGGCCCCCTCATAGCCATAGTTATCCACCCGCCCAGCTACTCTGGCTGGAGGGGAGCTGCTGTTCTGCCTCTCTCAGAGTGGGAGTCTTGTGCTCTGTAGCTTGCCTGTGCACACGACCCGTCTCAGCCTAAGGGACTGCAAAACTCCACAGAAGGCTCCAGATTCTCTTTGGGAACTGACAATGCACCTACCAGCCCGGGATGGCTGCAAGGTACTAGGCCAAGACTGATGCCCCCTCACTAGTTATCCCGCCTTCCTTAAACATCCTCCATCCCACAACCAGTTGAAGAGTGAAAGCATAGATCACTCATTCTGCTGCTTCAAGCCTTCCCGTGGTCTTGCTGTGCTTGGAATGTCACAAATACCCTTCTTAAAGCCTTCCCTGTCCTCACTGGTCTGATCCTGCCCATCCCGC